AAAAAATTAGCCCAGTCGACATTAAGTCTAGACAAATTTTGGTCAAAAAAATGAGCTCCAAGTTTAGAGTTCACAAATTTCTAGTGTCTCCACAAATTGGAGCTTGTAATTAAATGCGCTGCTACTTGAACATCATCAATCGACCAAGCATGGTGAATAGTATCCATTTGAGTAATCAGAAATACAGAGTTAAAGTTCTGAGTTGGAATTTTCAGTGAAAGCTAGACATTGGTAAACTCCAAAATTGTAGCTCACTCTTTTTGGCCACAATTTTTTTCATAAGATGTGCATCAATACTAAAGACACAAAAAAGCTCTTCTGTTTCACTTTCCTTTGCCTATGAAAGGGCCACAAAAACCAAAGTAACATCGATCAGAACTAACCCGTTACGTTTTCTCATTAATCATGGCTATTTTATTAAACTAGCCGGATAGTGAACTAATATCAGCTAATCGGTTAGTATACCGTTCCGATCATTTGGTAAAAAGTCAATAGATTATTTAGCTGCTTTTTTGTGTTAATATTCACGGGTGGATCATTATGGGTCAGTCTAGAAGAATAGTGTTGACCGCAGAACTACGACTTACTAAGTATTGGATAAAATGAAAACACCGCAAGTTCCTCTTCGGAGCTAGTTCCTTAATTCAATTGTAACTACATATTCTCTGTTGAATTTAAAGTTGTGGTCCGATTCACCCTTCTATGAACCAATATGAGCGCCATTGTGCAAAGCGTTTGGGATTCTCACCTAATAGAACTGTATAAATAATCATACTAGATGTCAGGATTTGAGTCACATTATTTCGTTAGAAAGCAGTACCTTCTATAGCTCAGAATGTTCAGTTTACGATATTGATGAGGGTGAGGATCAACGTTTTCTTTCCATCCACACGAAGCATTCACATCCACACGCTTATTTTCCATACCACTGCATAACTCTCTTATAGGAATGGGTTTTAAAATATAAAATGAACGAAGTGATATTTGTTATGCATGAGCATGAGTTATGATTTCAGTGTTGTTCAGACAGTTAAGTTTAGTATTTCTTGGATCTCCATTGGATTCCCGGACTCTCTTGGGGTTCCCCGATTTCCTATTGGATTCCACGATTCCCATGGGATTCCCAGGAGGTTTGGAATCCTGGGAAGCCGCATATTCCCCCTTGATTTGTATGGTGCTTCAAGGTTATACTTTATCATAAGATGTTCTGCGTACTATGAAAACTAACACCAAGTAATCGATAATTATCCTTAAATAGGAAGTACAATCGACAAGTATCAATAAGTCGTAAATAGTTTTGCTTCCGAAAGATCGGTATTTTTTACACTAGATAATAAAGATCGCTTTTGTAGAAGGAAATATATCTATTACGGAATATAAATCACAATTTACTAACAGAAGATACCTACTCAGTTGCCTGAGAAAAGAAAATATGGAGCAGAAACATTAAAATAAAATTGTAATGCGCTCAGTTTTCCGATGCTTTGAATGACAAACATATAGTAAATGCCACAACGTTTTCTACTTAGTTCATACAGGAAGAGAAAACTTGTGTAAGATTAATACCCTGCTTCTTAAAGTCTGATTTTTTTATCATATTCGAGCTTTTGACGTATCTCATTCAAAGCGATTTCATTATATATTCAACCACCAGTATAAACTCTTGTAATTTGTCCAGCCTGTCAAGAAATAGGTTATTTCTTGGATTTCTGAATGGACATTGTGAACTGAGTTTAATATCTCATTTAAAGATGACTTATTTCTCGTATCTCTACCATAGTTTCTTAGAGGAATAGGCTTTAAAATATTAAATGAATGAAATGACTTTGTTATGTGTTAGCAAAAGTTATATTTTAAGTGTTTTTGAAACGTCTACATTAGTTATTTCTAGGACGTATATCAGATTTCCACGGGATTCCATGGATTCCCATGGGATTTCAGATATTCCCACGGGATTCCAGGGATTCCCACGGGATTCTCAGGGTTCCCATGGGATTCGGAATCCCGGGAATCCGCCGTTTCTCCTTGAGATCTTGAAATTTATACGCAGTACAGAGTTGGAACCCAGTTCAGGAAAATGTTTTAGAGGAAAAAGATTGACCGCTATATTCGATTATTTACTGTCGATCAATAGGACATGTTTCCAAACAACATCTATTTTCATACTATTGCCTCACGTTTTTGTCCATGATCAGGGCAAAATATGGCACAATCGTTGTTGGTATCTGTACGCATACTATAGAGAATAGCACGGTTGCCATCGATATTTTCATGATCGATCAAAAAAGGTTGCAGATATATATATATATACGCAGAAAAAAAATGTTCATATGTATAATCAATTTCTAATATCAACTTGTTCGAATGTAAAACATCGTAAAATTCATTTTTTAATGATCAGAATAACTTATTTTATTATGCGTAAGGATTCCAAATGTCATAAAACAAGCATGAATTTCAATCATGAATCGGTTACGCTAACAGTCACATCATCATATAAAGCAATCTTCATATTCGGTCGAAATCCACAATTCTCACTCATATAACCAAATTCATTGCTTGCTAATCGCGTAGAATTTACCATCAGATCAGTCGATCAATACGTTACGTATGTCCATGTACCCATAAACAAACAGGATCCGCACAGTCTGTATCATGATCATTGACGAAGGCATCTTCTACGCCAGCTTCTTCATCGTCTATTGAACACGTGCTATGACGAGAAGGCGCATGATGGGTACTAATAATCACGTGTTCTCGATTATCGTGTGTTTCTTGGATCTCTTTCATTAACCAGTCATGGTGCTAAACATCCCATTCGTTGGTATCATCGACCGTGAGTCGACGCCGTGCTTTTTTTTGCCATCCCCGACGCCTCTTCTTTCATGATTGAATTGGCATAATAATCATTGGCAGATCGATTAATTCTTGAAGCACTTTACCGAGGAACATGAGACCAAAGTGTTGTACCGAGTATACGCACATTATTGAGACCAAGGCAGCTCTTGTTATGTAAAAAATGAATACGAGGATTAAGATTGTCGAGTGCTTGAAGCTATTGAAGGCGAGTTTCATATTCTTCTTCGTAGAAACAATGATTTCCTGCTACATAAAAGATATGTTTGAATCTTTCGCATTGAGCGAGTAGGAATGCTTTAAGTGAGAGTAGCTGCCTAATTCGACTTCGAATATAAATGAAAAAAACCCGCTTCCATGTTTTCACGCCACTGTCAGAAATAGATTTAGATTTTACAAATCATAAATGTATAAGTCGACCGTCACTCCCATTTATAATTTAGGAATAGATTTAGATTTCCTTTTTATAAATTATAAAATTTATAAATGGACGTTCACTCCCATTTATAGTTTAGAAAGAGATTTAGGTTTCCTGTTTATAAATTGTGAAATGATAATTTTAAAGTCAAATGTATTCAGTAAGTTGAGATCGTATGTAATTTAGGCAGTTCGGGTAGTTGCAATTGTCGTCTAGATTTGAGAGATATCAGTGTAAATATATTTGGATTGCTGTTTAAATTTTGTCGGATTGACTGTTCTTTTTTTAGTGTATGGAGTTCTAATATTGCTGCCAAAGAGTATGCTATATCTAGATCAAATATTGAGGAAAATCAGGCCTGATTATCGGTTTCGAATTTTAGTTGTTTGAAGTGTTTCACTTTACGTGGTAATATCACTATTTGTTATTCGATCTTGAGGTCTGATACGCAGTATCTTTTGTGTGGTTGTGAATTGGATTGTTTTCATTGGCTCGTTTCGTAGTCGACGGCGAGCGTCAGTGTATTTTAACTATTGTGCAGTTCATTCTATATACTTCTCGATTGTTCTAATTAAATATTCGAGTGCATCTTATGCCCTTGATGTATGATTTCGTTCTATTTCGTCATTGTTTTCTTTCTCTCTGGTTCGTATGGTTGTCAACCTTTCCTAGCACCCACACTTGCTATGCTGTGTTTGTTTGGTGACCGGTTTTCAACCTTTCCTAGCACCCACACTTGCTATGTTGTGTTTGTTTGGTGGCCGGTTTTCAACCTTTCCTAGCACCCACACTTGCTATGTTTGTGTTTGCTGTGGACACCTTAACGCCTTTTCTAGCACCCACGCATGCTATGTTGTGGATATAGACCCGCGTATTCCGCCTTTCCTCACATCCACACTGGCACCCTTAAGCACAATAAAGAAATGCAGTAACATCATGCAGCTAACATATGAAAAAAGATACATTTTCACATTAACGAGGAAGAGTAACCGAGGAAATGTATCGAATATCGAGTGCAAGATAAGTCACAGAGACATTATCACTCGACTTCCGTGTGTATATTCAGATTCTGGACTAAGCATAAAATATGTATGGGGTACACCTTTAAAAAAACTCACTAACGATTTAGCTTATTTATTAATTTTATAATTGATAATAACTAAATCTAAATCTATTCCTAGATTATAAATGGGAGTGAAGGTCAATTTATAAATTTTATAATTTATAAAAAGGAAATCTAAATCTATACCTAAAATATAAATGTGCTGGCAGTTATGTGATCTGTTGCTTTCCGATGGTTTTTAAATGGTCGTGATTTTTTTCATTTATTTTCGAACTGTGAATAGTTATTCAGATGCCAATTTATATTCGAAGTCGAACGAGGCATCTCATGTTAAGTGATGGCATATCGGGTCTTCGCATATCTCCAGCAAGCAATAGAATGGGCGCTACAGCTGAAAATTCGGGTAGGATTACATTGTTGAATTCCAAGTGCAGATTACCCAGGAGCATTGCTTGAAAAGTTGCGTTGACCTCGGATCCGGGAGTTTTATTGAGTAATTTGACTATAGATATACTGAAAAACATATGCACACGTCTTGCAATAGCGAAAAAGAAAGAGGTAAAACACTTCTCTTCTTTAGAATAGTCACCCCTTTCAGAGAGAAGTGGAACGGAGAAAAAATGATTTGGAATCGCAGTGTATTTATTATAATCATTGGCATATAAATGGCGTGATGCTCTAATGTGAATTGACAATAAAACTGCAGGAAAGAACATAAGTCATACATGTACATTATTAAGTTCTCTAATGGTCGATCACCGAGAGTGTGAGTGTGGGGTATGAGGAGCGCCTTTTTCGAAAGCAACACCTACACCCCTTCTATGTGAATAGCATAGATTTTAATAAGATTTCAGTTTTCTTTCTGAAATTCAATAAATGTTGTAGTATTAATTTAGAAATTAGTGTATTTTATAGAGAATAATTTGTTCTATTGAATGAAACATAGCAGAAGATTTGTAGATTAAAGCATAGTGAAAAACACAATAGAAATAGCTGAAAATGATTACTGAGATAACAGATAAATGTTAGAGATGCTGTTTAAGTTTCATAATGTATCTTCAAATTGATTTAGAATTCTCATTCAATGGAGTAAATTTTGTTCTATAAAATATGTTAATTTTCAAAGATTATTCATGTATTACCCTTGAAAAACGGGAACTATAAAATCAGTTTAATTATTATTAATTTATGATTATGTAAATTTTAAAAAGACTATTTATTGCAGAGTATAGATCGATTTATTCTGTGTCTATTGATATATTTGGAAGTTTATTTTGTCTTTCAATAACAGTAAAATGGATGGCATATAAAAAGCATTTTAAAGGGGGGTCTTCTATTATGTCGGAGAAACTTTTTCTTCAGGGGGTCTTGTAAAATGATAAGCTATTATAGATCTTTGAAGAAGTTTTTTTTCTCCAGTAGTTTTAGGTTATTTCACTCAATAAGACTCGTTCTATTTCTTTTACGAATAATTAAATGAATTTCTTGAATATTTGCCTCTAAATTTGAAGATGTATATATCAACGATGTATCAACAAAAGTTATTAAACAAACTATTCGCTTTTGCTTTATCAAAAAATGTAAAAGAATTCTATTAAATCATGTTCATCAGAAATTTATTCTGGATGATAATTATTGTTTTCAAGTCACATAAGGATACTTCAAATTTACAGTTAATTTTTAATTATAAATATCATTAACCTTTCTTTTTTACCAGAACAAAGATATAGCAATTATTTTTCTAATTTTCGGATTATTAAAATCGACAATCTTTTATTGATAAATGACGCAAAACATTTTTTTAGACTTCGGACTTTTCGACTCAAAAGTGCGTTATCAATAAGATCATTTCCTCGATAAGTCGAATCATGTTTTCTTTTAAAAGATTTATACTTCGAAGTATTATCAAATAAACAAAATCATGTCTTGATTAGAATTGTTGATTTGTGTTCCTTTATGGAACTAAATAATGTTTCAATACGCAGTGAAATATTTTTCTTGTTTATCTATTACTACTGTACGAGTATTTGCTTCAATTGGTCTACTCATGAACCAAAAGCTTGTTGCATTGACTTTTTCGTTTCGAAACTTTTCAATAGTATCATGTAAAAATTCAGAATTCTCAAAAAGTAAGAAATCAGTTTGTTCATCTAGACTTATCGTCAAGAAAGTGATTCCGCTATTTTCCAATACATACACTTTTGTGATTTAATAGATCATGATACTGCCAGTAGATGAACAGTCTGTTTTGTATAGATGCACTATTCATTATCTAAATTTCATTTCTTCTTTCTATTTTGTGTTCTGTTAATGCAAAAAGAAACATATACTCATGTCTGTATTTTGTTTACATTAGCACATCATTGCAATGGAATCCCAAACTTTTCTCCAAACACAGGAAAAGGATAACATTTCAATCAAATAAATGACAACAGCTAACTAGCATCGTCATACATGTTGAAATTACTTCTTTCCTTTCTATTCAAGTGAATTTCATCTGGCAGATCGTAAACATTCGAGGTTACGTGTCTTCAAATTAAATATTACCGCTATAAATATAAATCACGATTAACATACTAAACTAAATAATTCTTCCATTTTACTTTGACCATTTATTTTTTTAAACAAAATCTTTATTGTTTTTCACATTTCATCATTTATTTTTTATGTACAAGAAGAGCTTTTATTCTCGG